TTATTCCTGAATGTCTGATTGCAGCTGTGCAGTCAGATTATGTTCCACCTGATTAATAAAGTGCCTTGAGGGCGGTTCTAAAAAAAAGTCAAAAAAAAACTTGTGCTATGGTAGTCTAGATCCTAATTTAGTACCACAATTGTCTAATGTATGAGGTGTAATCTAGTAGGAGTACTAATATACAGTACGTACCTTTGTGTTTTCCATGATATTGGCGCACATCAAGGATCTGAGCAGAAAACGGAGAGCAAGTGGGCATAAGAAACCAGAATATATCTGTGAGAGGGACTGTTTAGCAACCATTGTCATGACATGCCGACCGCTGTCACCTAATTAAACAATGGGATTTAATAAATTTAATAGAGCCTCCGCATCTCACCACAGATCCCTATACATCCATCGCAGAAAAATAATCCACACTATACATCCTATCGCTCTCCTCCCCCTCCCCCCTTCCTTCTGTCCCCGAGGCCCAAAGCTCGGGCCGTCTTCCTCCTCCTCCTCCTCCTCCTCCTCATCTTCTTCTACAGGAGCGGCGGATCTACCGTCTCCAGAGCTCCCGGGAAGGAAGGAAAATATCCGTGAAAGAAAGAGACCCATGAGCCAAAGTGTGACGACTGCACGCCTCCGCTCACCTAACCAAACCCCTCCTTAAACAAAGCCTCCTCGTCTCACATCACACCCCGCTTGCTCCTTATCGCCTCCCACCTCACTCCCACTCCTCCCCTCTCTCCCCCCTCCTGCCGCCATGGCCCAAGCTTGGGCCTTCCTCCTCCCGGTCCTCGTCCTCGGCTCCTACGCGTCCCACCTCCTCCTCCCCACCTATATAACCAGCTCCTTCTGCAGCGGCGGCGATGGAGCGAGATCCTTATTCCTCTGCGCGCAGGCTCCCAAGGACCAGGACCCGTCTCCTGCCAGCACCATGTACAAGACCGCCTTCCACTTCCAGCCCGCCAAGAACTGGATGAACGGTATATGCCGATTTCCTCTCTGAATTTTTCCCCTTTTGAGCTTGCTCTGTAATTTGTTTTCCTTTTTAAGCCTCCTCTCTGCTTTGGGCCGTCTGTTGACTCTTTGCTCGTGGCAAGGGCCAATCGGAGAGCCCCTCGATCTGGTGTGCCTTTTCTTGTTCGTGGTCCAAGACTCCAAGTCAAAGCAAGCGATCCGATTGGTTACTGTTTCTTTTTTTTCTTCCCAACTGGGGTAGCACCCGATCTTAATTTTGCCTGCCAGTATTAAAGCTTATGCTCCACGTGTTAAAATATGCAGTACATATTTTTGTGTCAAAAAACTGTTTTAGGCGGCTAAAAGGGCTGGTGGCTAGCTACCTCATTGCTTCTGCAAGTCAGTCGTTGCTGAATGATGCTCGGTGTGAGGGCGCTGCTGATAGATTTTGAGTATAGGCATATTCTGTGGATGCTTGGGCTAAACACAAGTAGCCATTGCAGAAATGGTGAACTGATTTCAGAGCAAGTGTTATGTACCTTCTCACCAAAGTGTATGCCACTTCCATGCTAGTGTTGTCTGAAACTGTCCGTGTTTGCTCCACTGTCAGTGTTACTTTTGGCCAGAAAGCATTCAGTTAGGCAAACTAGACAGATCTGTTATACCCATATAGTACGACACAAGGGAAGCACTGACCTGTTGATTCTTGCTTGTGGCAAGGCCAATCAGAGAGCCTCTATGATTTGGTGTCCTTTTCTTCTTCTTGGTCTGAAAAAAGCAAGTGATCTCAACTGCTCTGTCTTCCCCTGCTGGAGAAGCCAAGTCAAATCTAGTAGCTGATCTTAAATTTGTGTGCTAATATTAAATACTTCTATACCCCACGTGTAAAAATATGTAGTAGTACATGATACTCTTGGCAGCAGCATCGTTGCAAAAACTGTTTTTGTGTCAAAAATAATTAGTTGAGGGATAAGGTTGGTAGCCAGCTCATTGCTTGTTCAGGTCTGTTGCTGAACGCTGCACACGGTAGGTGCTCAGTGTAAGCGCGCTGCAGTTAGATTTTCAGTGGTACTGCCATAGTATGATGATAGACATATTCTTTTGATGCTTGCACAAAAAAGGATTATTCATTGCAAAGATGGTGAATTAATTTCGTAGAAAGTGTTGTGTACCTTCTCACCAAGGTGCATGCCACCTGAAAATGTCCACATTTGCTCCACTGTTAGTGTTATTTTTGGTCAGAAAGCGTTCAGTTAGGCATGGCGCTTTTATCTTCCATACCAGGCCAAACTACAACACCAGAAATTATGTGTCCGAAAAATATTGGGCATATCTGCTATATACCAATACAAAAGTAATAAAGTACTTGCCTGTTTTGTAATCTAGAATATCTTTTGATCCAGTTTTACCAATTATCATATTATCCTATTAATTCTGGATCTGTTGCAAGTCACTAACATTTTCTTACCTTTTTCAAACATCTGATGGATTGGTGAAATCTATGACAATACAAAAGATCCATCTGGTATGAATATCTCAGGCACAAAAACTTCCAAATAAAAAGGAGAAGAAATCGAAGCATTCTACAACTCACACTGCCTTTATAAAACTTTCAGGACCAATGTACTTCAATGGCATCTACCATGAATTCTACCAGTATAACCTCAACGGCCCCATTTTTGGTGACATAGTTTGGGGCCATTCGGTTTCAACAGACCTTGTCAACTGGATCGGGCTTGAACCCGCGTTAGTGCGGGACACCCCTAGTGACATAGACGGTTGCTGGACCGGCTCAGTCACCATTCTGCCTGGTGGTAAACCGATCATCATATACACTGGTGGTGACATAGATCAAAATCAGGCACAAAACATCGCGTTTCCGAAAAACCGGTCTGACCCATACCTGAGGGAATGGATCAAAGCAGACAATAACCCGGTGCTCCGACCGGACGAACCAGGGATGAACTCGATCGAGTTCAGGGATCCGACAACCGGTTGGATCGGACCGGATGGACTGTGGAGGATGGCAGTTGGTGGTGAGCTGAACGGCTACAGTGCTGCGCTTTTGTACAAGAGTGAAGACTTTCTGAATTGGACAAAAGTTGATCACCCACTGTATTCACATAATGGATCCAATATGTGGGAGTGTCCGGATTTCTTTGCGGTATTGCCGGGCAATAACGCTGGACTGGACCTGTCCGCAGCGATCCCACAAGGCGCCAAGCATGCCCTCAAAATGAGCGTGGATTCAGTTGACAAGTACATGATCGGGGTGTATGATCTCCATCGTGATGCCTTTGTGCCAGATAATGTCGTAGATGACCGTCGGCTGTGGCTGAGAATAGATTACGGCACTTTCTATGCTTCAAAATCATTCTTTGACTCGAACAAGAACAGGAGGATCATATGGGGTTGGTCTAGGGAGACAGATAGTCCTTCAGATGATCTTGCAAAAGGTTGGGCAGGACTCCATGTAAGAAAATCTTCCCCTAATTGGCTGTGCTTCATATTGAAATAATGATTTAACTGATTTAGTAAATCAGTGTAGCATTTTTAACCTCAGTTTTTATTACATTTAGACAATCCCCAGGACAATTTGGTTAGCCGGCGATGGCAAGCAGTTGTTACAATGGCCAGTTGAGGAGATTGAGTCCCTTCGAACAAATGAAATCAACCATCAAGGACTAGAGCTCAACAAGGGAGATCTATTTGAGATCAAGGAAGTTGACGCTTTTCAGGTAGTTTTCTTTTCACAAACATGCTTACTTGGTCTTCCGAAGAACCCTTCTTTACTTCAAAAAGTGTTATGCCAGTAAAAGCTGTAGGGTCTTCTGATAATAACTAATTATGGATAGTACTACCTCTGTAACTAAATGTAAGTTGAACTGCAAAAAAAGTCTTATACTCCCTCCGTCCCAAAATAAGTGTCTCAACCTTAGTACAATTTTATACTAGAGTTAGTACAAAGTGAGACACTTATTTTGGGACGGAGGGAGTATTTAGTTACAGAGGTAATACATTTTTGGCAACAAAAAGATAGGCATACATACTTAAGCTTTGGTGTGTTTTGTATTTTCCAGAGAAGCTGTAGCTAATTAGGCACACATTTTCTTGAAACAGGCTGATGTAGAGATAGGTTTTGAGCTGGCGTCCATCGATGACGCCGATCCTTTTGATCCTTCCTGGCTTTTGGACCCTGAGAAGCATTGTGGGGAAGCGGGTGCATCAGTTCCTGGTGGTATAGGTCCATTTGGACTTGTCATTCTGGCCTCCGACAACATGGACGAGCACACTGAGGTGTATTTCAGAGTCTACAAGTCACAGGAAAAGTACATGGTACTCATGTGCTCTGATCTAAGAAGGTCAGTGCTTATGTCTTTTGCCTTAATTTTGGTTAGTCTTCTCCATAAACGTCTGAAAACTAAACTTAAATATGTCCTTTTGTTTGCACAGGTCTTCCCTGAGACCAGATCTGGAGAAACCAGCCTATGGAGGCTTCTTTGAATTTGATCTTGAAAAGGAAAGGAAGATATCACTCAGAACTCTGGTAAGCTGAGCTGGGAGGCTCTGCCATTTCCCCTGTTATTCATTTCCTACATGTCAGGATTGAAAATGGATGGATGGATGCTGCCTTGCAGATTGACCGGTCGGCGGTGGAGAGCTTCGGTGGCGGTGGCAGGGTTTGCATCACATCCAGAGTTTATCCAGCGGTGCTGGCCGACGTCGGCAGTGCCCACATTTACGCTTTCAACAATGGAAGTGCCACGGTCAGGGTGCCACAGCTCAGCGCATGGACCATGAGGAAGGCACAAGTGAATGTGGAGAAGGGTTGGAGTGCTATTTAAAACAGAGGAGCAATTTGATTTTCTCGATTCTTTTACTATCATTCATCAGCATTGCCTGGCAGAAATAAGGACATTCAGCAGGAAAGAAAATAGCCTATCATTTCTTTGATCTCTAGTATTCATATATTGTAGTTACTACTTAGTAAGCCCTTCCCATCTCAGTTACTTGTATCAATTTTTATGGAAACGCACACTAGTGATGAAATTCACGGGATGAGTACTTTAGTCACACATAAGAATCTCTGGAAATGTTTTAAAGTGGTTACAAGACTTTGTGAGCAAACATGTCATATACCCCTTCACGGTGTTGAGATGTCCTGCTGACTTGTCTTTCTTGTTGCAAAAAGTACACCTGGTTCTACTTATGGTGGGAAGTTCAATGAAAAAAATATCTGGCCCTCGCATCGTTCCCATGCGGGTGATTCGAGGGTGACTAGGGTACCCCCCCCCCCCTCCTCTTTTCCTCGCCACTGCCGGAGGCGGCCACTGAGATTGCCTGGGCGGCTGCCGATGAAGGGTTGCGGTGATGTCTCTGCTGCTCCCTTGCTCGGGTGGAGGGACATTGGGCGCCTAGGCGGCGGCCTTGGGTGGAGAGGCGACATCGTTTGAGCGGCAAGGGTGTCTATTGATGCGTGCCGGTGAGGTGACGTTGAGTGTGGTAAGTGGTTCATGGGCAGGGGTTGTGGTCTCTGGCATCAGATCACATGATACCACCCCTTAGGTGATACCATGATACCATTTCAAAAAATTCAATTTCAAATGATTTAAAAAATTTCTGAAAACAAATTGTGGATGTTCACATCACATGAATGTACAATCCCTGAAAATTCCAGGTCCAAATTCGAAATTCACATTGGAAAATAAAAAAGACAAATCATCCTGATGTGAACATCCAAAAAATTTCAGGGATTGTGCATTCATGTGATGTGAACATCCAGAATTTTTTGAAACGTTTAAAATCGACTTTTTTGTAATGGTATCATGGGAGCATTTGGGAGGTGGTATCA